GAACAACTCTGTATACCTACACATGGGCAGTATAGGTCCTCAGTTTACCCACAGACATTTGGGCCTCATGGCCAGTTTTAGCAGCCACCACTACCCATAAAACCATCTCCCATACCCTTCCCTGCACTCAGTCCTGCCACTGTATCCGTGTCCCTGCTGTAAGCTCTTGTGTCCTGTATTCTTGGAGCTCCTGGGGTCCTGACACACAGCAGGTATTCCATCCTTGTGTGCTCAGGGCCTGGCTGTTCAAAATGTGGTTTCTCGGGAGAAAAAAACGTGTTTTTTCCAATATCAGAGGGCTTCCTTTAAATAGTGTCTAGTAAATATGTACTAAAGCTAACTGGGAAAATTTGGATCATTTTGTTAACTTAGTGGCTTTACCAAATATATCAACAAACATTTCAGGACATTTGCTGTGAGCGAGGTACACATGTATAAATTCTGCCTCATGGTGACCCACTGATAATGACTTAAAATATACTTCTAGCCGGGTGCTGATGGATCACACCTGTAATTCTAGCTACTCAGGAGACTGAGATCTTAGGATAGCAGTTCAAAGGCAGCCCAGGAAAGTCTATGAGACTCTTAGCTCCAATTAATCACCAAAAGTGGGAAAAACAAAACAAACTCTTTCTCTCTCTCTCTCTCCCTCTCTCTCTGTCTCTTTCTCTCTCTCTCTTTCTCTGTCACTCTCTCTCTATATATATGTGTGTGTGTACACATTATATCATTATATATAATGTATATATACATTATAAAGTATATATAGCCAAACTATATATACATATATAAACATGTAAACTATATAAACATATATATATTTAAATGTTTCAAATGTGAATGGCCACTTTCAGAGGCAATCAAAGTCATAGTTTAGGTGATTTTTGCTTTTCCTCCAATTTTGCTTTAAAATATCGCATTTGGATGCATGCCTTAAAGGATATGAAACATACATTAGAACTATACAGTCTAAAACTCTACACAGCATCTTAATTTGGGAGGGGAACACCTGGAGGGTTGGAAGGGCACCCAAAATAATTTTTCTATTTTCAAACCAAAGCAGCCCATGCTCCTGGACTAATAATCAGAGTTCAGTCACACCACTCAAGTGTTGAAGCCATTCATCTTGGCCCAAAGTTCTCAAACTCTGGCATGTTTTGAGTGTTTGATAAAACAGGATGCCTGCCCCCTTCCTTCAGAGTTTTTGATTCTTAAGATCTGTTTTTTTCAATTAGAACAAATTCCTAGGGACGCTGCTGCCGTTGCTTCAGGGAACCACGATTTGGCTCATCCTCCAGTGATTCCTGTCCATACTGGGAGCTCACTGCCCACACTAAGGCTACCAAGTCGTGATCCATTCTGTTAAGTGATGTTTCCTTCATTCACACTGAACCTGACATGATTCTTTAGAACTCTTCTCTGCTTTGCTTTCAGGCGTGGAAGCTCCCTCTTCACAGGTAGCCTTCACAATAGTGAACTCATTCCCTCTCCTTCCTGCTCCCCTCACTGCATACCCTTCTTTTCTTGTTTTAGGCACTCTGACTGGCATTGTTATTAAAGTTCTGCTTTTTCCTAATTGATGGAATTTCAAGATTAAATAGCTAACTATAAAAAAAAGCGCATGAACCCCAAAGAGTAGTAATTCAAAGTAAAGTTATACCACCATAAACGCCCAATTTAACCTCCATTTCTACCCCTATTGCTCTCAAATAAGTTGCATATGCCATGTGCAAACCAAGTTTTCCATGAAAACCCGATTCACTCAAGTTAAATAGCTGTTCTCCATTTAGAGGTTATGCCCTTTCAATTTCTCAAAGTGCAAACAGCCTTCCTGCCATGAAGGGAGGCTGAGGAGTTCCCAAGGTAGGGTCCCCACTTAACAGCTCCACAAAGCCCAGTGGAGTGTTGGGTCAGACTGGTCTCCTGCTCTCAGCATGGGTTTACCATTTATGAGAAGAGGTTACCAGGACATGTCAGACACTGCCCACTGCAGCCCTGTCCTCCTGACTGCTCGCTTCCCTCTGGCACACTGGCTCTGGAACTGCTGTGCTCCCCATATTGTCATGACCAATGCAGAGGAGGAGGTAAGCACAGGGAATGATGCTTGAAGCTGAGAGTGGACATTGAACAGGTGGGACCTCCCCCCACTCCTGCTCTGACTGGCTGTCCTCCCCATACCAGGCTCTGGGCCAGCTTGGGACAAGCTGGTGTGCCTCTTCTTCCCTATACAAGTGTGACTCCGACCATGGCTGCAGATCCCTGAACTTCCATATATTCAGATCTGGAGTTGACCTCATGTAAAGACAAAAACATCAGCGTTCGTAGGTCCTCATATCTCAGCATGGTAGCCTATCAGGGGCTGAGCCAGGATGCAGAGGGCCGTGGAGAAGGCGGGGGAAGGGTAGTGTGGGGGGTCTGGGCTATTACTGGCCTAGAGAAGGGAGAAATTCAAAAGAGAAAATAATCATCTATAAATAGATTGGCAAACTTCTGCCAAGAGCCAGGAAGTAAACATTCTAGGCTCTGCAGGCCACAGGTTCTCTGTGAGAGCTGTTCTAGTCAGCTACTGGGTTACAGCAGTCTCCAAGAGGCTGGCCATGCTCCAATAGAGCTGTTCACCAAGCAGCCACCTCAGGCTGGGCACTACAGTTGGCTGCCCATCCCAGCCTCCACCCACCGTGGGTTAGGCCTTCTCCAGTCTCAATTTGCTCTTCCCCAGTGCTGTGTTCTGATTAGCCCATTTAACCTGCCTTTGGCTCCCATGGTTTCTGGGACAGACATTGTATGTCTCTGGTGCCAGCACCAAGCAGGTGTTTGATACACATCTGGGGAGACTGTAGGTGGTGGTGGTGAGGCTAATGTTTACAGCAGACAAACCTTAATGAACACTTCCAGCCTCTTGGCAAAAATAAATAAACAAACAAAAATAAAAAACCTACAGGACTTCCAGAGGAAAAGAAATCTCTCCTGATGACAAACCCAACCAGAAGTAGCTGCCTGGCTTGTAATTCTATTCCTTGTTAAAATGCAAACCCATGGGTCCATGCTGACGTCAGGGCTGAACCCCAGAAATCAGTGCTGTGGAACGCCTGCAGACAGGCTGCTCCCGTCTGGAGCTCCCCGGGTGTGGAGCAGAGCCCAGAACCACACACTTCAGCCTCCTTTGATGAGGAGGAAAAGCATTGCTGCCAGCCAGAGGGACAAAAATGCTTTATTATTGGAAAATCTAAGAGTCTCTCTAGGCCTGTGCTGCACCATTAGGTGACGTCAATGGCTCAGAGTATAAGAGCTCTGCTTAGAACAGCGGCTGATTCATGGTGGTAAAGGCGTTGCTATTTACAGCCACAGAAAAGACATGGCCCTTGCTTCTACATCCTGAAGTCCTGTGCTAATGGCTCCTCTGCTTTCCTTATGCGCCTGTGGTAGAAGCTTTATGGCTGGCCAGAGGCCAGGACTGAGACACTTCATTCCATTCACGCTAACCAACAGCGGCAGGGCCTACTATGTGCAGGCAGCTGGCACACCAACCCATGACCCTGTGAGAGAGGGAAGGCAGGTTAGCCCACAAATAGCTATGCCAGTGGAGGTACAAAACTAACAAAGCAATGTGGGGGTTAGGGATGGAGGGCTGCTTGGCAGTGGAGTTATAAGGACTGGAGGTTCTCTTCATTACTCCAAAAGGGAGAGGGGAGAAAATGAGGCTAATGTGAAGGAAGAAGGGCATGCTTGATTTTAGACATGAGCTATACTTAGTTAATTTCTGGCATGAGAATGAATAAGCCCAATGGAGCCTGTTTCCTCTCCCGTGAATCCACAGCCCAGAAACGGTGGTCTGTACTACATATGTTAAGTCATTTGTCTCTAAAGGGACACCAGGATTGCCTGTCTCTTGCCATCTGCTTGTGACCTCTCTCATGCCAAACTTACTCTTCCTCCTGGTTTGTATCAATGTAGCTAACTTGATGATTTTTTTCCTTGTGGAAGCCCATTTTTTTCCTTTCCATGTCTCCAAGGACTTGCTTCTTTGCGTGACTTTTTGGTATTAACAGAACATTTCCTGACTCCAAATTAGATTCTTAGTGGTGAAGGAAGGCTTGTAGGTTGAACTAAATGTTAGGAATAAGCACATGGCCATAGTGACTTTGATGTCCAGAGTCTCCTTAAGACATAGCACATCTGTCCCTCAGGAACTTCTCTTGGAGGAGCCCTGGCATCTGCAGTCCTGCCAGCCCAGTCCAACTCCTCATGAGCCAGGTCTTACCCCATCATAGGACCACTACCCCAGAAACCTCTGAAAGCTCTTAGAAATGCTATCACTTCACCAAAATCAAAGATCATATTCTGTAAGGTTTCAAAAACAGCTCATTGGTAACTATTTTTGCTGCATAGTTTTTAACCAAGTTACAGAGCATGAGATGAAAATCTATGTGATCAAGTAGCAAAAGTATGAATCACATAAAAGAAAATTCATCTATAACATTGTTCTCTGCTATAAAACTATCTTAATATATCCTTAAATATAAAAACTTGTTAAAATTCTGTTGTTTCAGAAGTTATCATTTAAATGCATCGCTTTACATGATATCATGGTATGAAAAAAAAAAACTGCAATCCTAACTTGGAATGATTCTGAATTTGGATGCAGATTGTAGGGTTGAAATGCTCAAATGGATATATACTTTTCATCTGTTTAAGAACTGAAGATAGAAAATAAGATTGGGGGGGGGGTTGGAGGAAGAATTTCATACTTGCTGCATAAAATACATTAGCTTAGTAAGTCAGCCAAGAGGCAAGGCATAACCAGTGTCTTTGCTAATAAAGTAAGACACATTTGCAGGGGAATCTTTCACAAATTCATATCAGAGGTATTTAATGTCTACATGAGCCTTCTTAGCTGGTAACTATAGTAAGATATGGAGAAAGACAGGCAGAGAAGGGTAGCAAGAATGTAGCACATGGTGAAGCTGACAAAGCAGATGGTGGGGGTCTGAATACTGTACCTGCTTATTATTGTCAGTGGTACAGCACAGCTTCTTGAGGGAGACAAAATGCCTAATTTTCCTAATAACATAAATAATCCATGATTAGTGAGTTCGATACCAGAGGGCTCCACAAATCAGCACATGAAAACATCAGCAGTCTTCTTAAAGCAACACTCCCTTAGCAGGGACTAGGGTAGATTTAGGACTCAAGCAAAATCCAAGCTACAGAAAAGGTATTTTCCACACAGCTCCCACCCTGCTCTTCAAAAACCTGGCTTGGTGGAATCCCAGCTGGTGCAGACACATATTCTGAAGGGGTTTTTCTTTGTGTAACTGTCTCCAGAAGTTTGGTTCCTAGATACTTTCAGGGAAAGCCTGCAATACTACCCACACATAACTTCTGACCTAAATAATTTGATTTCTCATATAAAAAGCCAAGACATTTATTTGGACAGTGGCCAGGGCAAGCTAAAATTCTGCCAATTAGGTTGTGGTCTTGTTCATGACCATAAGGGAAACTAAAAGATGACAGGTACCTAGGCCCCATGTAAAAGTTAGCTCAAGGTGGACTTTCTGTTGAAAGTACAGCCATGAAATTCAAACACTATATAAGACCTCACGTCTCAAAAGCACTGCATCTTTCTCTCCACCCCCCGCCCAGCCCGTGTCTGTCTCTGTGTATGTGTGTGTACCTCCATCTCTGTGCCTGTGTCTCTATCTCTAACTTTTTCTGGTTTACTTTTCTCTGGAGAACTTTAAAGAGAGCATAGAAAATACTAACTATTCTTTAATGAGCATCATTCAAATAGGAAGAGGTAACATTCCCAATTTTAAACCAGAATTGCCTCTGTTAGTTCACTGCCTACAATTAGATAAAAATAACATTGGAAATTGTGTCTAGATAAAAGAACTTCTTTCCCTCATCTGTCAAATCAGAAAAATTTATTCTGACAGAAATTACCAAGTAATAGCAATCTCCTCTGCTTTGGTTATCCACTGATTCTGGTCCCATGTACAAAAAACAAAAACGGTTCTTAGCTTCCATGTTCTCAGAAGATGGTCTAAGAATAAGGATGTTAAAAGCATGAGAGCCCCGGGCATTATTTTCTGCCAGCCATGGCCGCTGGTAGGAAGGGATGCGTTGAGGTGATGCCTGCTCCCACAGGGACCTGTTGGGAGGGGCCGCTGCTCCCAAACAAAAGGGAGCCTTCGGGTAGAAGCCCGGTTAGAAGCTTATGGTGCCTGCCACCTCCAGAGTTCAGCCAGAGAGAGGACATGCATTACACAATGTATCAAACACTAGGCAGTGATCTCCATCTGATGGCAGCACGATTTCAAATGGCTAAATAAGTAAAATCGGAGAAGACACAATATACAAATTGTTTGGTGATTAGACTTCGAGAAGCATCACCCCCACCCCAAGCTGGTCATGTGTGCTTCCCACTGGAGTCTCCACTGGGACTCTCCAATACCAATTGTTGGTGTGCTAACTCTTCTTACCTCATTATTTCCATGTTCTGAGTCCCTTACAAACTCAGACGCTCAAGCAGGGTTGACCTTCAAGATGGGTCACGAGGCTTATCAGTGAGGTATTGTTAGGAGTCTAGTCTAGCCCTGAGAACCTTCTCACAAAATTTAACTGAGAGAAGGAAAAGGAATTGTGTAGTTTTCTCATCTCTCTACAACACAGACATCTCTGGTAGCCTGAGTCCATGGAGTCAGATGCCCTCAGCAGCTGGTCAGACAGCATCCCTTACAGGTTAGTGGCCTCCAGAACTTTCTGAGCCCTTGTGGAAGAAACCCAGAGCCAATCTGGAGAAAACCAGGAAAGGCAGGGCCCCAGGAGAGAGAGAGAGAGAAGTAGACTCCCTGTGGGCTGAGGGCAGAGGCTTAGAGCCCCAGCTGGAAATTATTAAAGGGGAAGAACAGCCTGGACATGAAGCCCCCTCAAAGGGTACTGGAAACAATGGGAACATCCATGACTAGAAGACAGGGGGAAGAAACACATGTATGGGGCGCTACTGGCTTGGTAGGATACGTTAGTGCATACACATATGGCACAACACTACTGTTTGCAAGGACCTAAGGCTCACACTGGCATTCAGTGTCTAAACCCAATGCTCCCAACAGCCTGAGTCCATGTCTGCAGCTGAAAGAGTCAAAGAGCTTGCTCTCACCCTCCTTGGCCAATCACTGGGGTGATCTTCACGTGCTGTTGGATGCTGTCCCCGGATTTCCGTCTGGCATAGTAAACCCCCTGCCACTCCTACATAGACAAAGAGAGCTCTTAAGATCCTTCGGTCATGGTCACAGTTGCCCCCATGGAGTAGGCTGAGTCAGAATGTTTGCACAAGCTGCCCTTACATTGCACCAAACTCTGCTGTACCACTGCTTCCACAGCAACACTGACACCATCACAAAGCTTCGACAAAACCATAGAGTCAATGTGTCCACTTGGCTGCAGGTCCTGGGCTCCAGGATCTTTGACCAGGGGGTCAAGTTACCTGCTACTAACCTTCTGCCATAGCACTGAATTTGAGAAATCACTCTCAAAATCACCACCTATGAGCTCGACTTAGTATTTTTAGTGTACTGATGGTTAAACAGAGGCTCAGAGATTTTAACTAACTTAGCTTCATTAGGAAATAGAGAATCTGATCATAAACTTGTATGTCTTTAACATTTCCTGAAGCCCCCAGATGGCTAACGTTCTTGGAGCCTCTCAGCCAAGATGTTTAGAGCTACTCTGACTCTTCAGTTTCCACAGGTGCTGCCAAGAACAAAGCTAAGCACTGGACCCTGGGAATCGGCTGAGAGAGCCAAGTGACATCAGGAGGAACCATGGAGTATCCCAACAATTCTTGGGAGTAACTCAGAGGCGGGCTCTCATCTGTTTCTTGTCCCTTTACTTACATATGATATGGCTGTGTATGTACATTGGGTTAACCGGTGAGTGGTTGGATTCTTTTGCCAAACCCTTTTGTAGTAGTATATAACATTTTATATCGTTTTTAAGTCTCATTGCTCCAATTGTTTTAAAATCAACATTGGTTATCTTTATAATCTACACATTTTTATCCCTACTGAATGGCCTCCTGTTCAACAAAGACAATGTTTATCAAACTATTACACAGAAGAGAAGGAAAATGGAAGACAGCAGGAGAGGAAGCTTAGAAGAAAGTACCCAGCCTATCCCAGTTTAGAGGGCCAGCACTCCTTTGGAGGAGAGGGCTACAGAGGAAATTCCTCTTGCACTTCTACCATGCCTTTGTCTCCCAGGATGACACAGAAGGCAGGAGAAGAAGCCAGGAGAGAGAACTACCTGTGGATTCTGAGCAGTAAAGAGCAAAGACAAGAGAAAAGGGCAATTAAAAAAAATAGACTGACATTCAGTCCTACTTTCTAACTGATAGGCTGAAAAATACACAGTGGCTGTCTGGGTAGAACACTGCTCAAAGGTGGGCACAGTATTCCAGAAATGACAGGTGGCATTTACTTACACAGGTAGCATGCATGTCCTTTCACGATTAACACTGGATTCACTTGAGATGCAAAACTAAACCATTATCTCCTTGCAAACAGCAAAAGGCTTTCACTTAATTCTGATATTATTAAGGAAGTAAACCTTACTGATGAGACACCAAAACTTCCAACAGCAGCAGCAGCAGCAGCAGCAGCAACAACAAAGCACGGGGGAGAGGGACCAGCTTTGCCCGTTCCACTAACCTTTCCCTTCTTGATGCAGGTATTAATGGTGTCCAGAAGGTCAGCCCGGTTCTTGTCACTCTTGGGCAGGTCAGCAAGTTCTTTGCCCAGTAGCTCCCCTTTGTGGTAGCCCATCATCCGCTCGAAGGCTGGGTTGACGTACTGTGAACAGGGTGGGTTACATATCAGTGTGCAATTCAGGGTACTCTGCTGGGACTCGGGACTATGGAGAAAGCAGTTCTAGCACCAATTGTGCTCCACAGCAGGGGCCACATGGCCCTCCTTCTCTGACCTCCACAGACCAGGGGCCTTCCTCCTAGATGGCCACTATTTAACTGCTGTCCTAACTCCTCTGTGGGCAGCTGGAAGGAACTTTAGTTAGCAGGGAAGGAGCAAGAAGGCCTTCCTTATCTAGTAGTCCAAATCTGTGGTGGACTTCACTCACCATCTGCCACCCCAAGAAATCAGGAAAAATCTGGAAGAAAGTAGAAATAAAAAATAGGGCTGGGGATGTGTAGCTCAGTGCTTGCCTAGCACACATGAGGTCCTGAGTTCCAGCCTAGCATCAGAAATTTAAAAACAAATAGGTAATTAAGCCAGAGCTTAATTATTTCAACAGGTTGTGGCATTTATTAATCATAGCTGTAAGGCAGCAATTTGATCTCATATCTGCTGGTTTTCTACTTGCCACAATTTATTTATCGATGCTATGGTTGAGGTCACTTGTAATCTAATCTGAACAAAAAATATAGTTAGCCAGCACGGACAGGACAGCCTTGTAGAGCCGAGTGCTAGTGGAGAGGAGGAGTATGCCACCGTGCACTTGGAGGTCAGCAGACTCGGGAGGTTTCAGTGCAGAAATCTGCTATGATCTGGGGTTTAGAACTATTTTTTTAACCTACTCGGCTCAGGCTTCCACTTCCATTTTCTTTTCAAAATGCACAGAATCAGATGAGAGGTCAAGAGTAGGGGACAGGCATTGTTGAATGTGGGGAAAGCGTGGCCACGCTGCACTTTGGTCATGATTTCTGTGGGTAAGGGTTCCATCAGAAATGTTCTCCCACACTCTAGTCACGCTCGTCCTCCACTGGGGCGATGGGTCACGAACTGGTTGATGTAAGGACACCTAGGGAGCTACTCCATTGGGAGCATAGCTTCTATGAACATGATTAACCCCAGGAGCTGAAAAGGTCAAGAGGATGCTGTAGTCATCAGAGCTATGGGGATGGCTAAAGAAGAAAGCTGTGACCGCACACACAGAGCAGGTATCTGCCCCCTTCCCTGGACAAGGTGGGGGCAGCCTGGCCCCTCCTCCCAGGACCAGCCTTCAGCCCCATAGTGGGCCCTGCAGGCTGCCAGGCTACCTGTGAGTCTCCCTCCTCTGGGCTTTAGAAAGCCTTAGCAGTCTGTGCCTGACTGATTCCCTGCTCCCCATCCTGCCCTATTCCACTGTCTTCCTCTAGGAAAGGGAAGTAGACTCCGTCACTCCTAAGAGCTCCCAGTGACTCCTGTGAACACTAAGCTAACTACACTGAACTTAAGTTTTTGTTCATTTTCTATCCCACTGGACATTAAAATCCTCAAAGCCAAAGGCCATTTTAGAATCTTATCTGGCTGTTCCTGTTTATTTTGTAGATATGTGATAAGTAAATAGGTAATATGATAGAATGTAATGTTTCCTTATTTGTTGGTTAATACATACTTTTTTTTCTTTTCTTTTTTGATGGTACTGGGGTTTGAACTTAGATACTTGCTATGCGGGATGTTCTTCCACTTGAGCTCACCTCCAGTCCTTTTCACTTCAGTTACTTTCCAGATAGGGTTTTGAATTTTTGCCCAGGGCTGGCCTCAGAACACAATCCTCCTAATCTCTGTCTCTAGATCAGCTGAGAATGCAAGCATGTGCCACCATGCCCAACCCTTCTTCCCTTTGCTTTGAATTGAAATTTGCATTGATGATACATCTTTAAAAGTAGCAAAAAGAGATCCCCTGAGAAAACCCCTGTAAAATCTTATTCCAGAATACATGCTTCCATTTCATTTCAGTGACCCTCCCTCCACCTCTACTTCACAGGCACCGTCTATGTTCCTGTGCCTGTTTATGCCTGTCTTTGGAAGAGGCTGAAAGATGATTTACGCCATAATGTGAAACCATCTCCGGACTAGGGATACGGGGTTGCTAACTACTGGTTGCTATCAACTCAGTTCCCTATTCAAACAATCACCAGTTAGATTACAAGTAGAAAAGGTGGGTGGAAGGCAGAAGCCCCTTCTCCTTATTTTAGAAATCATAGCCCAGCTGCCCACCACAAAGTAGGGAGGCACAACACAAATGTGTTTCGTGGACAGGACTGACTGTTCAGTTCTAGATGTAAGTGGGGGAGATAGGGGAATTGTGGGATTTGAGCCAAAGCTGTGGGCAGGTGAGCCAGAAATAAGCCAGCAATAGGAAGGAACCTTCAGTTCCATTTCAAGGAGCAGCCAGAAAAACAAATCCTAAAAATGCAGCCAAACAGGAAAGTAGTCAGGCTTTGGAGTCAAAAAGACATGGCTGCATGTTTGGGTTTCAATGCTTATTACTTCTTGGAGAAGTCCCTGGACCTTGCTGGGCCTCAGTTTACTCTCCTATACTATGGGGCCAGTATGCCACTGTTGCCAAATGGAGATGAAATAACTCAACGAAAGTGATGCTGACAGAGCCAGGTGGTGTGGGCTACTGACACCAGGGATCTGTGGGTATAGCAAGGCTTGGCTGTGTATGCAGTGAGAGCATCAGAAGAGACAAAAGAAGGCTCCTGTGGAGCTGACCACAGTATGTTGGTGTTCTAGTGGCCACAAGTACTCCTCACGTGCAAGGATACTCTGTAAACTAGCTACAGGCAGGCCACTGTCACAGAGAGGCCACAAAAGAACAGCTACATTTCAGAGGAACAGCAAATGAATGTTTATCTACCATACACATTCCCTTAAGAAGACATAGTGCTCTATAATCGGTATACCAACTACAGGCAAATAAATGAGATCTTCTGAATGATTTGTTCCCATACACATTTGCAAGTGTTTGCTCTACAATTCTGGTTTGCTTCTCTAAATTCTGTCTTGACAGATGACCCAGAGAATTTATGCCAACTCTGTCAAAGAAACCACAGTTTATGATCTGAACACATACATCTTATTCTTTATTGAGAACCTAATTCTTTTAAGTCTGTCAGTGTGCTTTACATAGTTTGATTCTCAGTTCTTCAAAGAAACTGTACTAGTATATGATAATTATGGGAAAGCACTTGTCAAAAAGGTGGCCCCAACTTGAAAAAGGTTCTATTTTGGCATCTAATGATAGAAGTGTTTCTTTCCTTACCTGAATCACGTGGTCATCGCTTGTTATTTCTATGGCTTCGTGACAGTGGTCTAATGCCGTAAACACTGAATTACAGGCCCTGAAAGATGCAAAAGACTGAATTAGTTGTCCTATAAAAATCATTTGCATTTTGATGGTTAATTTAGCAAAGTAAAAAAACAGATGCTAGATTCATTGAAGACATATACTTCTTATTACTATGATCTGACTATTGGCATCCCCTCAAAGTTCCTATGCTAAAAATTGAATGCCCAATGCAATAGTATTAATACATGGGGCCTTTGGGAAGTGATTATGAGGGCACTACCATCACGAATAGGATTCATTTCCTTAGAGAAGACCCTTGCTCCCAATGCCTTTGAGGACATGGAATGTGTTATCACCAGACAATAAATCCACCAACATTGTGATCTTAGATTTCTCAGTCTCCAGAACTGAGCAATACATTTGGTATTTATAAATTTCCCAACTTAAGGTATCTTGTTATGTAGTCCAAACAGACTAAGTCAGTTATTATGTTTTGAAAAAGTGAAGTAATCTTTCAAACTACCTGCATAAACAACAGCATATATACCCATATGTATATGCAAAAAAGAACTGTAATTGCGTTCTGAATGGCTATGTGTATGCTGAATGGAGCTTCAACAGGGACACAGAGAACAAAACACAGATGAAACTGTCCTGTAAGTCCCATATGTTCTATGTTGGTGACATTCCATTTCCTTCACAGAATTGGTCAGAGAACAGGGAAAGTCTCCATCACTTAGGAGGCTTTAAGTAGACCTAAATTGGCTCTGAGGTAGTCTAGCCTCTTGCAACAGACATAGAACCATCTTTTCTTATTATTTTTTTTTTGTGATGCTACTTTGGTTCCAACTATACTCCCTGGCATGAAGAAAGGCAAATATGGCCGGATCCCCCTGAGCAGTACCTGTGCAGCCCTCCAGGTAGCCTGTCCCTTGCCAACCTTCCTGTATATCTAGGACATTTGAAATCAGGCTCACAGAATGCAGTTATAATTTTAACTAACTTCTAAATCTAGAACCAGTTCAAATACAGTAGGTTAGTTACTACCCAATATGGCAAGAATGTAGCTAGGGCTCTGTTATTTGTACTGACTATCTAAAGAATCCCAGCAAAGGCTTTCTTACACATTACAAAGGAAAAAAAGAAAAGCATTGATTTATTGCCCTGATATTTGTTCATACAAAACAAACTCTTCCGATGTTATTTTTTCCACTCATCAAGGGAGTCTAATTTTGCTGCTTTGTTTTGATCTGTTTATAAGGGAAAAGGCAGAAAGCATTGAGTGAAATTTGAGTTCGTACTTTTCCAGTTCTGGAATCTTGGGCAACTTTTTATCTTTGCTGGCCCTTGGGTTCCTCATTTAGAAAATGAGAAGACAAAGAATACGTATTCCACAGGGCTTTGTAATCATCAGAACATGATTTTTGCTAAGTATTTCTCAAAGCACTTGGGACTGTACTGAGTAAGAATTCAACATGTAGTAGCTGTTATTATTTGTTATCTAAGGCTTTTAAAAACCTTTAGTGAAAAGAAAAATAAATTATAGCTTGTCGTTTTTTCATGTGAATATCTAAAATGTCAAACCAAAAAGTGTATAATAGCCAGGTAACCTGCATGGAGAGTGAAGGGTTTTGGCCCCGGTAATTCCAGAGATGAGGATATCAGTGAGCAAGGGTCGGAAAGCAAATAACCATGTTCTGGGTGAGCAGAGCTACGAATGGGACCAGCCTGACTCTGCTGACATTCCTGAGTGGACAGATCATTTCTATATTCCAATTATACCCATCCACCCAACTTCAACTGCATACTGTCACACAATCACTTCAGTATTTGTAAACATGGTGATTAGCAATAAGAAGGAAGAGTAAGAGAGGAAATCAGGGCCATTATAAACATGGTTATTGAACTGCCTCTTGAGAGATAAGCAAGAGCCTGTGTGTGTGTGTGTGTGTGTGCATATGTGCACACACATGCCAATAATAGATCTTGTGGTCAGGACCTCAAGTTTCACTGAACTTTTTCGTTCACAGTTGGTACTTTACTTGAGTCATACCTCCAATTCTGAGTTTTTGCTGGTTAACTGGAGAGAAAAGTCTTGAGGATTTGCCTAAGTGAGGTGGTTTCAAACCTTGATCCTTAGATCTCAGCTTCCTGAGTCGTTAGGATTATAAGCATGAGCTGCCGATGCCCAGCTAACAGCCAGTCTTATGAAAAGTATTTTCTGGATACCTGGTCTATAATGGGCTCAGTTCCTTATCCTAGAAAAGGACTTCTACTTTTCAGAAGTGCTGTGTGGCAATACACACTCTATGTGGGCCAATTTGTCAACTTTGAGAGCTGGATAATTAAGTTCTAATGAACACAAATTATCAAACGATACATTTCTCTCCTGCATAAGTGGTTTCTCGAAGGTATCCATATATTTCAAGTAAGAGTGTAAACTGGTACTTTAGGCAATTATCATTTTATCAATTCAAGAAGTGGCCTTTGTATAAATCTTCAGAGCCAACGTCTAGGATTGGTCTATTAAACATTCATTTCATGATTAGCCACAAAACATAAAATCTTCAAAAAGTATAATGCCCAGTAGGGAAGAGCAAATTCTTATACTGACAGTTGACAGAAGATACTTAACAGAATAGGATATTATTCTTCTTCCTGCCCTCACAGTGACAAACAACAATATTTATTTGGGTTTTCGATCTCTCTACTTAAATAAACATGCAGCAAAATGGGACAGTCAATTTGTGTCATGTTGCTAGAATTTGGGAATCTAATTTGCTAATATTAATTATTCATATTCTCTAAGCAGGACAACCATGGCTTTATTAATTTTCTGTTCTTGCAAACCATATAACTATATTTCAAATGCCTTTAGTTGATAGGTTTGACTTCCTTTAGGTTAAGTCAGAAATTGGAAAAAGAAACAGAAGAGAAAGAAAGGTAATGGCTGGGCGTTGGTGGCTCACGCCTGTAATCCTAGCTACTCAGGAGGCTGAGATCTGAGGATCACAGTTCAAAGCCAGTTTAAGCAGGAAAGTCCACAAGATTCTTAGCTCCAATAAACCACCAGAAAACTGGAAGTGGCACTGTGGCTCAAGTGGTAGAGCACTCGTCTTGAGCTGAAGAGCTGAGGGACAGCGCCCAGGCCCAGAGTTCAAGCCTCATGACTGACAAAAAAAAAAAAAAGAAGGAAAAAAAAAAAAGAAAGAAAGGTAATGTAGGTAAGCGTGAAAATCCAGGAAGGATAAGCAATGGGACCATTTCCTGAGACTTTCTTAGGGGCCTTACAAGGACCCCAAGGGAGAGCCCAAAAGGGAAAGGCAAATGTAGGTGTCCAGGTAGAATGTGTATTAGCAGCTACAATGGTATAGAAGGAGCACCACAATAACAAGCAGGACAATGAGCTCTATTCTAGCACTGTAGCCAACACGTCAACTTGCACAGCTATGATCATGTCAGCAGTCCTCTGGCTTCCAGTGTCTTTCTTTTGTCAATGTAACTGAGCTAGATACGTGATCTCCTGTGTTTCTTTGGAAGGCACACGACACACAGACAGAAACACAGACACACAAATACCACTGAGAACAAAGGTAGAGCTAGGCAAGGTGGTGACATGTCTAAACTTATGAATACAAGTCCACAGGGGCCTTGAATGAGCGGAGTAGGAACCAGATGGGCAAGGGAATCACGGGCTTGCTACTTTCTGGCACTAGTCCTGGGGTAAGGATGCAAAAGGGTAGATTATTTTAGGTATTTAAGGCTCCATGTATTTGTCTACCACAATAGCTGTCACAAAGCACCCATGGGAGAATAAAAGCTCTACAAACATCCATTAATGCTAGTATTCCACAGAACACAGAGTCTGGTCCATCAGAAATGTTCCTTCTTTCTGAAATGAAGGGCTGCCACTGTCTTAAGATTGAGAATTAAAGAAGCATGATTAGTTGAGTAATTCCTAGACTGATGAATGATTGAAAGAATAGCTGGAACTGTATTAGTACAAACTGATCAGCTGAAACTCCTGGTAAATTATGTTGACTTTAGATAAAACAGGTCTTTCCATGATAAAAAGGCATTATCCTAGAAGCTCTGCATTTCATGAGTTATTTTGCTTAGCAGAGAAATTCATCAAGTGTACACAGAAATGTTCACATCTTTAAAATTTATTCTACCTCAAGTCCTTTTTAAAAAATTAGACCACATCTTCTGTTTGGTTATTTCCTCTGGACCTACTTAGGGACTTGATAATTCAGGAGGAAAAGGCAAACATTGCAGGGGACCAGGCTTGCATCATCCTTTTGATAAGTTCAGACTCACATACAGAGGTGTGCAGCATCCAACACCATCATGCAGCACAGACTGTGTCCTTGTAGAATGACAGTCATGTTACATATTTAGCTGCAGCCGAGGGCGGAATTGTAGGGAAAATTCTTACATAATTAGACTATAATTATTCTGGCTTTGTATAATAAAGAGCTCATTTCCCAGTTTGTCACAAATGGTATAGCCACTTAGCTGCCTGAGGGTACAGGTAGATACTCTGGATATCCCTGAATGCCCTCAAGAGCTGGAGGAAGGTCATGGTCAAGGTCACTGACTTCTCATCTGTTGGGGTTTGGATCTGGTATATCTGGGGAGATTCAAATCATATGTGTGCATGAAAATACCCAGATAGGGAAAAAGCTCAGGTTAGGCCAAGGAAGAAGCAGTCAAAATGCAATCAAGTGAGATGGTATTGAAAGAAAGAGGACAGAGAGCTAGGCAGGCTCTTCTTCCTGGGACCCTACCTCCCAAATTGCTGGGATTACAGCCATGAGCTACTGCAACTGGCCTATATTCTTTTTATCTCATTTAAAATCAGGAGAGACGCTCCCCTCCCTCCGCTGAGGGGAAATAAAAACTATACACAAAAATATACCAAAAAGCACAAATTCTAGAAGAAAAGTCTATGTAATTTTCTGGAAAAATTCTATGAAGTTCTCTAAAACTAAAAGACATACAGACAAAAAGAAACCAAGGAATTTACCTTACTTAAATATTTAAAAAAAAATCTTTGGTGAGTTTTGTTCATCAAAGGCTTTGAAATAATCAGAATTTTTCAAATATCTGAATTACCACTGACTGGACATTCTTTTGAAACATTTTTCCACTGTTACAACCATCAACTTCTTATTCTAACATTATTCTTTAGCTTTCTCTAGTCACCAAAGAGGAATCCCCAGACCAAGTGTACCCAGGGAGACCTGCTGCTGTAGGTGTAAACCAACCTAGCAGCTGACTAGAGTGAGAAGCCATGCAGGAATTTTCCTGCTGGATGCCAGAAAGCTGCAGGGGACTGGCCCTCTCAAGTAGGGGGTAGAGGTGGGTGGTAAGGTTGATAAGCCTCCTCTTGCCACTCCCCTCATCTCTGACTTGAACAGGGCAGTTGGAAAAAATTAGGGTCCTCAGAGCAAATCAGAGCAGAGCCTGAGCCAAACCAGGCAGGTGCTAGGACCCTGGCAGTCTAACTAAGCCTAGAGCAGAACAAGTCAGTCAGCAGCAACATTGGCTATTAACTGTCACTAGGAGACTCCCACCAGCACCTGAAAGCCAGTATAAGGAGCCTGCTCTTAAAGCGCCATATACCTATAAAGAGACCAAGGTCCCTTTCTTGAAGATATCTCATGAATATTGAGGTCAGAAATAGATTTAGGAAATTACTACATAGCTATTTTCATAGTTAGCAGAGTACATATACCCAATGGTTTGCCCTTACTAAAACAATACAAGTATGAGTTTATAAATGTGGAAAGTAAGAGATAGAGAGTTATTGCCAAAGGTTATTCTTTCTCTCTCTCTCTTTTTTATTGTCAAGGTGATGTAGAGAGGGTTACAGTTACGTAAGTAAAGCAATAATTACATTTCTTGTCAAACTTGTTATCCCTTCCCTTATTTTTCTCCTACTTTCCCTTTCCCCACCCCCCCAACAAAGGTTATTCTTAATCTTGATCAAATCATGCAAAAAGTAAACCATATTTTCCCAGGTTATGATTTTAAAACTGCTGGAAATGGCAGAAAATATTTCCAAAAGAAGAAATGATTTCAATTTAGGCCATTATGTCAAGGGAAATCCCAGTTTAAATACTGTCCCTGGCCACTTGGCATTATCCAGTTTAAGAACTTCAAAATCTATGGGATTCAGCCATGAGATGGTGAATATCAGCCTGTTGACAGGTAAGATTTTTCTAAAGAGTTTTTAAGCTGCGGTGCCACTGCATTTTGCTACATACCGTAATTTGAACTGTGAGCGAACTTCCCCGTGTTCTATTTGAATCAGTTCATTATAGCAAGCAATTATGCTGCTATTCTCCATAAATCTCTGAAAAGAAAGCAAAGATAATACATAAGACATTTCCAATTATTTCTTAGAGAGTCAAGTAGAGAAACTTAACAGCTGTTCCTACCACCAGGTAACTGTTATGTAAGATGTCTAGTAAGTAGGATGAGAGGAAACAGAAAAGTTGTCAGGGAGTTTGAAATGCTTGTTTGAATGCGTGAGAAACAACAGAGCAGGCAATACTTATACTTACACTCCCTTTATAACAAAGGTGGACTAAACTTCATTATGAGTAATCATAGGAAAATAAATACACAAGAGCACAAAATGCTTCCCCAATCATGTACTCATTGCTATTTCATATTGTACTAATAAACATCACTGAAACTCAATCCCAGCATATTCACTGTGTGCTACATTGCCAATGAACTCATTGTAGGAAGTGGTTATTCTGCTTCATTCTGAATTTTGTTTGTGCTTAATCCACAGCTCATTTAAAAAACCAGTAAACTTGGTCAGGTGTGGTTCCTCACATTTATAATCTCAGTTACTTAAGAGACATAGATGATCAGGAAGATCACTGTTTCAGGCCAGGAAAAAAGTTAGCAAGAACCCATCTCAACCAATAAGGCTGAGCATAGTGTTACATTTCTGTCAACCTAGCTATATGAGTGGTTTAAACACGAGCATCATGATCCAGGCTGGCCCTGCTCCCCACCCCCAATATATATATATATATATGAGACCTTATTCAAAAATTAAGTAAAGCAAGTGGGTTAGAGATGTAACTCAAGTGGTAGAGCCTGAGTTCAAACCCCAGTACTGGCAAAAAAAAGCAACAAACAAAACATTAAGCGAAACAACAAAAGATAAACAACTCAGTGAAAAACTGGGATACATATTTGATAAGGTATGTCTCTAAGAAAATATACAAATGGGCAGCAAATAGATGAAAGATGCTGAATACAGCATCAGCCACTTAAGAAATGCAATCAAAAGCACAGTGTAGTCATTCCACAGCCAAGGAGATGGCTATACTAACAAGGAGAAAATGGGCACAGGTAAGGATGTGGAGAAACAGAACACTTGAACACTGCCAGTAGGAATGTGAAATGGTTTAGTTGCTGGGAAAAATACTTGGGGAATGAGTAAAACAACTTAACACAGAATTTCTGTATAATCCAGGGAAGAATATACCCAAAGGACTAAACATGGAGACTCAAATACTTGTATAAACAGGGCCCTAGTAACATGATTCATGATAGCCAAAAGGTAGAAGTAGCCCAAATGTCCATCAACAGACAAATGTATAAACAATTTGTGATGTGTACATATAGTGAAGTGTTACTCAAACATAAAGCAGGAATGAAGTACTGATACATGTTGTATCATGTATAAACCTAAAAATATTCAGTGAAGCCAGGTACCAATGACTTACACCTTGTAATCCTAGCTACTCAGAAGGGTGAGATTTGAGGATCATAGTTTGAAGTTAGCCTGGGCAGAAATGTCTATGACTCTTATCTCCAATGAACCACACACACACACACAGTGACAGTGGAGCTGTGATTCAAGTAGTAGAGAGCTAGCCTTGAGCACAAAAGCTCTCAGAAAGCACTCAGGCCCTGAGTTTAAGCTTAGGACTGGGGCACATTCTTGTACATGCACTCTTGTGCACACACACACACACACACACACACGCACACACACCAATGAAGATAACAATCATCTGTAAAATAGACACCAAAAGTCATATGTTGTGATTCTATTGACCTGAAATCTGTACGGTGGATCTATCCATAGAGCCCAGACTGGGGATGTCCAGAGCTGAAGGAGAATTAGAAGTGACCACTTAATGGGAAAAGGTTATAAAATGTTTTAGAACTACATATAGGTGGTGGATACACAACTGTAAATATGCTAAATGTCCATTTTAAAGTAGTTTATTCTTTCTTTTCCTTGTTTTATTATCTTTAAATAGTTGTACAATGTTCAGTTTACCATGCCTATCAATGTGTACAGTGCATCTTAATCATTCTTACTTGCATCTCTTTCAATCCCACCTGTCCCCTCAAGTTTCCTAGTTCCATCTTTATGTGTGCACATTGAAAATTGTGATTATATTCACTCACCATTCCTCTCCCATTCATTCACTCCCTCCCCTTAACCTTAGCCACCCTCAGACAAGACATGTTTCAGCTAGCATTTTGTTAAACTGGCTGTTAACTGTTCAAAGACGTTATACCAAAAAAATCCACCCTACATAGACCATACTTCAGTCAGTGTGTGTGTGTGTGTGTGTGTGCTGGTCCTGGGTGCTATCCCTGAGGTTTATTTGCTCAAGGCTAGCACTTGACGGCTTAAACTACAACTCCATTTCTGGCTTTTTTGGAGATAAGATTCTCATGGACTTTCCAACCAGGGCTGGCTTCAAACCATGGTCCTCAACTCTTAGCCTCCTGAGTAGCTAGGATTGTAGGAGTGAGCCACTGATGCTATGAACTCTTTGATGGGTGGAACCATGTGTCAGGCAGTTAGAAAGTTCTGAGTGACTAGCTAAGGCTTTACTTTTAATTTTATTTAGAAATACTTTTTAGAAAATAATGGTATTTGCAGGGAAATGGATGGAACTAGAGTGAATTATTTTGAGTGAGGTAAGCCTAGAACAGAGACAAACAGCACATGGTTTCCCTGGTATGTGGATGATAAAGCCAAAATGCAAGGAGATATGACAAAGTAAACAGGACCTCCAGAAACAAAGGACAGTCACTCATTTTGTCATATCATTGCTAAATGACTCCATGTTCTTGACCATATATAGCGTATATATATGCACGCAACAGAGGGAAGCCAGGAGGAGGATGCAGAGTAAGTGGGAAACGGAACAACATACAACAAAGGGACCCATCAGCTGCACTGGACATAGAAGAAAAAGAACTAAGCAACCCAAAGACAGTGATGGGAAAGAAGGAATGAGAGGGAAAGAGGGAAAGCTTACACTAAGCAAAAGGAAAGAAATGTAAACATCACCTGATGTGGGAGAAACACTTGTATTGTCAAAGCTCACAGAATTCACAAACTTTATAAACCATGATAAAGACAATTTGCCTTGAAAAGGTTAAAATGTGTTTGTGACTTTAACTAAGTATCACTATTCAACAATAATGTGAAATATATGAAATTTATGTAATCACCTAATCTCAATTTTTTAAAAAAAGAAAATAAAAATGAGAAAAGGGCTGGGTTAGGAGCCATGGGCAGCAATGTTGTCAGACACCTTGTATTCATATACTGTTTTGTAGAATGGGAACTTCTTTGTACAACTACTTCAAGATAACAATAATTAAAAATGTTTAAAAAAAATAGTAGTCACAGAGTCGGCTAGAATGTTCAGATGAATGACTATGAAAAGAGAAAATGTACAAATCGGGGAGGGGAAGGGAAATAACAAAATGCTGAAACAAGGATACAGGATGACCCATTATAACAATGAGATGTACAAGACACTATGTTGAAAACAAACTTTACAACTTTGCAGGGGGTGAGGGATGAGTTGGGGAGGTGGAGAGGGAAGAGACAGTAGGGAAAAATAAAGGAGGGGGTAACAATGTTTGACAGGAAATGCACTCATTACCTTGCTCATGTAACTTTAACCTCTCTGTACAGTATCTTTACAATAAAAAATACTTAAAACTAAACAAAATAAAATCTCTTTTCCAAAAAAAGAAAATACTCTTTAGAGTTAAAACATTCTGTAATGCAGTAGATTATGCTAAAGCTGGCATGATGGAATTGACTATAGGAGTGATCAGATCATCCCATATGCTGATGGGCAGTGTGGCTAACGTGCTCTGTGGATTCTCAGACTGTGTCTTCACTAACCCCAAACTTCTTTGACCCTAAAGGCTATCTCTGTGTAATACCTATGAGCATTTGGAATACTGGAGTCACATGGGACAGTGTGGGCAATAAACTTTAGAGAACCCGGACAAGAGTTTGGAGTTAAGGCTAAACGGCATCGTTGAGTTCGCTGTGAACATGAGCTCTGGCTAGCTATTTTGTTGTTTTGCCCTTGTTTCCATCTCTGAAAAAATGGAGAAAATATCAAATCCCTTATTATGTGGAGGAGGATTAAGTAAATCACTTGGAACTGAGCCTGACAAATAATGAATTATAGTTCCCTAGTCCTCATCCACAAGCAGCCACTCAGGGGAGAATTATGCCCCACAGCTATGCCCTGGCATGCCCAGCACATTACTTTGCACACAATCAGCTCCAGAAATACTTGTTGAGATGAATAAGCATTATTTCAAACAGAAAAAGGAGGCACACAAAGGTTAATATAAGGTTAATCTTGCAAAGATACTAGTTTCTAGAAGGCTTAGTGTGGAGTATCAGCATAGTTGATCACATACTCAAGCTCCAAAGGCTGGGAGGGGAATTGTTGCAGGACATTTGATAGCACAACATGTTCCTGAATCCTCACTCAGGGACCATAGACTGAAGTGCTGGCCTCTCAGCTAGCAACACAGGCTGAGTTTTGGCAAATGATTTAGTACAATCAAAACAACCCAGGGAAGGCAAGAAGAGCTGGCATATTTGGATAGAGAGTTGCCAAAGACAAGATCTTCTTCAGAAAAGGAAAACAGCCACCTGGAGATCTACCTCAGCTGTTCCTGAGCCACAGTAAGACAGGAAAGCCACCATGGGGGCTGTGTGCTCCCCTTGGATAGGGCTCCCAGGACTGAAGTACCCTGACCCAACTGGTGAATGGTCTTGACCAGATTAGACCCAGCACAGAGGACAGCCGGCAGTCCTGACAGGGGTTGCCTATCATGTTCCCACTAAGGGTCCATTCATTGTGGGTGACTGCAAAAATCAGTGACTGGTCTGGATGGAGGGAAATGAAACCTTCCAGAACAGCAAGGACAAGTTAGAAAATATAAAAGGAAACAATGAATTTTTGTTAGATTCTCTTGAGTGTTTGCCCTTATGATTAACAGTTGTTTCTCCTAAGTATGTGAGCAGGTGTTCAATCTCTACCTTCCAGTCAAGAGGCTATTGCTTCAAACAACACCAGTCTCTAAACCAGTTGGAAGAAGGATCACTGAACTAAAGCAAAATTCCAAAAGGCCACTCAACAGACCCATGTGGGTCCCAACTGATGAAGCAGCTCAAGGCCATTCTCCATGAGAAATAGCTAGCACGTCATGCTCTGAGAGTCGACTTGAAAAGGTCAGTGTGTGTGTGTGTGTGTGTGTGTGTGTGTGTGTGTGTATGTTGTGTGTGTGGGTGTGTGTGTGTGTACGGGGGTGTCCATATGAAATAGATCTATGAAGCCTGTGAATAATTTTAACTTTTTTTTTTTTTTAGAAAACAAATGAACAAGAAAAATAAGCCCCACTCACATAATTTCTTTGCTAATTTTCCTCTACAATCCCAAACTCAGGATTGTTTGCAGAACCAAATATTACTGTTGTGAAAAGAGATGACAGACACCGAGAAGTGTTAGGCAGCTGTGGAGTACTGCTCACAATACACACATATTTCTGCTACACACTGATTTACTACGTTGCCTTCAGCAGCGCCGCTGCTTCCAGGTTTACCAATACACAGAGCAACCACCTCACAAAGGCAGTTCCTGCTTCTCTGGTCTACAACCAAGAGGGATTTTGGTTTTAACCTCAGAAGAGCAAAATATCATACCCAGAGCACCAAAGGAATGTTCATAATTCACAAGGTGCAGGTGGTACCTTATTTTTGAAAAGATGTATTCCACCATCTCTTTGATCTGCCATTACTCCTTTCAAAAGTCCTTGTGATACAAGGCAAGCCCGGCTGTTCAGTTTGATGTTAGATCTACTTGGAATAATGAAGCTCAATCTTTTAAGATTGAATATTGTGAACTTACATAACTCCAGCCTAGGATCTCTATACTATTTTATCCAAAAGTTAATCTTTTATTTTTAAAAGAGGACAAAGATACCTATTATTAAAAATCTAAATATATAAAGGTCTTCCATAACTTCTCTAAATGAGCTTTATAAATATAAAATATACTTCTTTTTTAACATTACTGTTTAGGTTATCTTTTTCTACTCCTTTTTCCCCCTTTATTTTAATTAACCCCCACGTTTACCTAGGTGCTGATGGCTCATTCTTACAATACTAGCTACTCAGGAGGCTGAGATCTGAGGATTGAGGCTTGAAGGCGGCCAGGGCAGAAAAGTCTATGAGTCTTTTATCTCCAATTAACCACAAAGATCCAGAGGTAGAGCTGTGGCTCAAGTGGTAGAGCACCAGCTTTGAGGAAAAAAAAAAAAGCTAAAAGACAGCACCCATAGCCTGAATTCAAGCCCTAGTACCAGCACACACAAACAACAACAACAACAATATTTGCTTTCAATTTGCATGCATGCAGCTATGACCACAGTCAAATTTCCAGTTTCACATAACTGTTAAGCCCAGTTATCTAGTTTGAGGGTAAATCTCCTTGAAATAATAGATCTGTCTCAAGATGAATATCAGTATTTTTCACATAGTTGTGATTCAAAGAGTTTTCCTTTGTAGTGTTCATGGTATGAACCTGGCCTATAAGCTCTGGTGGGTCTTGGTGAACACAGAGCCAAGTGCCAATTTGGTGGACTTGTTTCTATATAATCACAGGCACCTTGCCTCTGATTCACAGGGCTGATTGACATGAGACTACTTTATGACTATTGAATTCTGATCTGACATAGTAAGATGCATTTTCTATGTCTTACATATCTGTTGCTAAGACATACAACATTATGAATTTAAAAAAGCAAAAAGCTTGACTAGCACTTGCTTGTTACATCCCACAAAACACAATTATTTCCTTTCTCTCATTCACAGTCCAGGGGCTCACTTCCCATGACAATTCTCATGGCTTGAGCTTTGCAGTCATGGGAGAGTCAGAAAGTACTGGATCCCTTTGTACATACCCGGTTGAAGCCTGCATGGAGGAGAGGAAGGACTGAGGCCTCTTCACAGTCATCAGATCTGCAGCAAAGCAGAAAATGTGGTCACTCAGAAGATACAAACCAGGGTTCCTCACACTGAAACATGGAGAAAGAGCAGTGAGACCATGGCTGTTAGCCATAAGAGGGGCTTCCTGACCAGCCCGTGCTCACAGGGTTCATCTTCAAGGGCAGAAACCCCACATATGCCTTCCAGATGAAAACAGAACACTGACAGTCCAGGAAATCCAATCATGCATTGGGAAGTACCACCAAGTACATGTGTGGGCCTGCTCCAACCCTGAGCTGTCCTCTGAGCAGTCTCAAGCAGGACTCATCAAGGACACTACTCATCCCAAGACCGTTGTTCCAAAACCTTGTGCAAGTATGACTTTTGCTTAAGGCCTAGCTGGATCTACCTTACGATGTGAAGAGCAAACCTGCGGGACTCTACAGCCAACTGGGAGAGAAATGTCAGCAAGAATGTAAACTTACTACAGAAGGAAACAAAAATTGGTCATTGTCATCTATTCTGTGAGATGGTTTCCTACAGTGAGCCTACAGTTAGGTGTTGAGTACAAAGTGGGGTAGGGACTAGCCTGTCACGAAAACATCCCATTGAGAGAGAAACAAGGTCCCTGAGATAGCCAGACAGTGGCTTGGAAAGAAAAATGGAATAAAAGAGATTGCATGGAAATGTCAATCAAAACAGGAAGAGAAATTCCAGAATTTATTTGTGGCATTATCCATAGCTGAGTCTTGCCCTATAAGAAAATTCTGTACCCTACCCCGCTCCTCCTTTCCCTCGGTAACATGAAGTTCTGTCTTCTCTGAGTGACAGTTCAGGAGGGGTACAAAGAGGCTCCAAATGGATTAATAATGTCTTAATTATTAATTAGAAGCTTTACTAATTATTACAGGCACTATTAATCTTATATGAACCATTTCATATTTTTTTAAAAACAGGAAAAATAGGTGAAAATGTAACAAATAAGACATTATGTATCAAGCAACAGAAAATATTTTTCCTCTATGAATAGGAAAAAAAAGGTATTTCATTCTTGGACCCATAGAACAAGCTAAGCAGGGAAATACAGTATTACTTTGTACATTTTAGTATCATGTCCAAGACTCTAAGACACTGTTCAGCTTTCAGAGTAACCTGAAGATAAATGGAAGAAAGAAGATAATGGAGCTGGTCTCACATCGGATTCATTCTCCTGGAAATCTCATCTCCTCAGGATGGCAGGTGTAAGGAATAACGGGGACAATTCTTTACCTTCTTTGACCACAGCCTGTGGTAAGAAGTCAAGTGAAGATACTCAAAGAATAGTATATCAATAGGAAATTTCAGTCAGGGCAGGATTTTATATCCCTGACCCTCTGCTATACCAATATGACTTTGGGTCACAGTATTTCAACTCTCTCTGCATCCACTGGCCTGGGAAAAGTTTTTACCCTCTTGTCAGAGTTGCTGGTTTGTCAGTTCCTTTTGTACACGATCTGTGCCAAGTGCCAGAACAGAGCCAAGTTCAACAGGTCTAATGAAGATCTTATTCTCTCTGATGCTAATGACAGCCATTAATTCACTACAACAAATTTTGTTATTTGCAAAGATCCCAACTACTGAGACTTGTGCAAACAATGTCTTTCCTTTTGGCTCTTTCATTGTAAGTTCAGCACATTCCAGACAGTAAACCTGGCAAACAATTTCCTAACCATAGTCTTGATGTACCTACAGTTTGGTCTGTCTTCTTTGCTGTCCAACATGAACATAAATCCCACTGCCCTGCTAGCTACATACCAGTTCTTACATTAACCTCACAGTCTGTTTCTTTGTTCTCAGGCTACAGTGTTTCTTTGTAAGTGAAAAACCAAGTACTTTCCCCATCTCTCTTCTTCAAAGAAGAGAAGAAATAGAACAATCTTCTCTCCAGACTTTGTTCTCAGTTTCTACTCATTTTTGGCACAGAAGGATGACAAGTAAACTTTTTCCCTGAGGTGTATGAGAATGTGCTAACAGCAGTTACACATAATAGAGAGAAAGCTGAAAGATTTTCCAGTGACTTGTGAAACAAGCAAAACCCCCAAAGCAAATCCTAAGGTTGGTATCCCAAGGCCCCGTACCTGCCCAGCATATTGCCAATTCAAAAACTGGATTGCTCCAGACAAATGCCTCAGCCTGAGAAGCACTGTTTCCTGCTGGGGTTGGAGGTTGAACTTACATGTGTGAAACCACTGCCAGGATCACTGTGTGCTCCGAGGGGTTTGTGGCCCGGATCGACCTGCAACCAAAAGGCTCCAAGTCAAACAGTGAGCTGAGCTTTGTTACATTAAACCAATGTGGATCTTTTTTTACACGGATAATAAAACGGAATCAAGTCTTTCTCTCAAGTAAAGGTCTTACAAGACATGTGAGACAGCAAAGAAAAATGGCCTTCTGAATTAAGAAGGTTATTATTTTTTTAATTGTTCTAACTGGTAGGCAATTATACAATAGGTCAGACTGGCCAATTTCCACTCAAAGATGAGCAAATTCCACTTAAATTTCATGTTTTTGATAGAAATTCTACTCTGAAAAAAATGACAGTTCTAAAATCCACTTAATTATCAATTTGTATCTGTGACAGCTGACAAGGCTGGATCTTTTTTCCTTAGAAAATAGTGGTTAATTAAGAAAGTTCATAATAAAAATTGAAGCACTTGCTGGCAAGTACAGGTTGAAGTTTATTAAAGATGATTCAAAGAGTTGCTCAACTTTTTGTTATTCTGTCATTTGGCTGGAATACTTCAAGCAACTTGGGCATCAGCTGGGGCTTAGATCAATTGAAATACAGTAACTGTCTTTGTATAATGATGTTTGTTGAACTAGGATCAAGTCTATATACTTAGTTTTCTCCCTAGTAGTCTAATGGATCAAAACATATAAGAATATAGACATCTGAAGTTTTTGAGTCTTCTTAGATGTGTTCAGCTTCTGGACTATTGGGATCAAAGGATTTTGAATTGGGGAAAGTTTCCATGAAGAGCCACATCTTTGTAAAGTGTAACCAGCACGCTTGCTTGTTTTAACTCATCCCCACAGTGTGGTCTCTGCTTATTTTGAAATCTCTTGAAACATGGCACAATTATCACCAAGGACAGAATCATCCAAGTAGTTTGTAAAACAGCATGTAGTTTCTGGGATGGGTTGTTGTTGTTGTCGCTGTTATGATTATTGCCGTGAATTCGTTTTTCTGGCATTTCTGCTCCTCTCCATGTTAATATGTTTACCTTTGGCTCCCCTAGGGATGGCAGCTCCTATTGCTTCTCTTCCACTCCAACAATTCCTGACCTTTCCCCAAAATTGTATGTTCTCTATGTCATGCTCTTTGACACCTGTGTGGCCAGTATACTCAGAAAAATGGTCAGCTGCTGTCTTCCTAGGAAGTGAAGTTTCCCTCCCAGGTAAATGATATTTAAGTGAGCAACTTCGAAGAAGATACTTTAAATCACAGTGGACTAGGAGTTTTGGGTCAGCCTCCCTCCAATGCTGGCATAGATTATGTCCCATTGAGCCATCCCACAGAGCAGGTCTAAATTTGTTTTATACTTAGGAACCAACTAGATGGATACACAGCATACATATCCATTTGTACCAAATGAAAAACAAATGACAGTGTTTTAGAGGCATTCCACTGATCACTAGAAAATATTGCAGAGTCCCCACCTTCCTCTGGCCTCTTTTACCCCAGTGAGGTATCATAGGTACACTGCTGGGCCACATTCTAAAGGATGAGTCCTAGGCAAGAGGTCAAAGTAGGAATAAACATAACTGGGCCAGAGCATATATTCTCTTGGTTTCTTTTGGAATTAGCTTGTTTTTTGAGTTGCTTCCTGCTGTTTTCCTCTTCCAGCTCATTCCTCCCAAAGAAATGTGGCAAGAGGCACCTAGGCTACTTCTTGAGGAGAAGACTAAGGGAGATCTGGAGATGGATGGGTCTGGATCAAGCATGATAAGAGAAGATCCAGTCTAGCTCAAAAGCCAAGGACTGTGGCCATGGATGACAATACAGGATACACATCTGCTAGGAGCATGTCCGCTGCATCCCCTCCCCTCCCCTCCACACACACCCTACCCCTCAACATCTCCTTAGGGAATATTTGCTGGTGGTCAATCATCCAAGAAACTGGCCACTTGTTAATTCTTTTTTTTTTGGGGGGGGGGGTCTGGTCGTGGGGCCTGAAATCTGGGCATAGGCGCTGTCCCTCAGCTCTTCAGCTCAAGGCTAGTGCTCTACCTCTTGAGCCACAGCACCACTTCTGGCTTTTTTTTCTTTTTGTTTATGTGGTGCTGAGGAATCGAACCCAGGGCCTCATACATGCAAGGCAAGTGCTCTACCACTGAGCCACCTTCCCAGCCCCCCCATATATTTTAAAATGTAGAGATTCTCCATTGTCTTTGTGTGCAGCAAAGATAGAGGTGCATTTGTTAGGAAACAAAACAATACCTTTTTATATTCAAAGAAAATATAAGGCTAATCTGCTAAACTTAGCTTTTGATTGCATTAAAACTTTCTTCCTATCGTTTTTCTCTTTATAATGCAAGCTTATCTTAAATCTATTACAAAGCCACATAAGAAAATGAAGGCCAGGAAATATAGGTTTACTTAGTTATAAAAGATCAGATTCTTCCCTAAAAATAACAAAATACATTTCTTTTTTAAGATATTAATGAAATTTATACTTCATTTTCTTTCTTTTTGTACTTGTCCTGGGTTTGATACCAGGATCTGGGTAATGTTTTCGAACTTTTTGTAATCACTCAATTTTTAATGTTATTATAGAGGGGATGTAAGGAGGGGTTACAGTTGCATGTCAGGTCATGGGTGCATTTCTTTTAGTATCCAAAATACATTTCTTAATGCTAAAAAAATAGCATTCAAATATATTATGTGTGTAAGCATTATTAAATAGGAAATTTCTATGAAAATTAAGTTCTGAGATCATTAAACACTTAAAATAGGTTTCTTAGAAAAAAGTCTTCTTCGGGAAAATGCAAATGTCTGTGATTAAAAAAAATCTTAGTCCATTAATTTATTGTCAGTGTACTAAAGGTTCTAAGAATCCATTTCTCTACTTCTTGCTTTCATTTGCTAATATTTAAGAAAATCCCAGCTCCATATGTAAGTGGACTCTGTCCTGGCCTAGCATTTAATTAGTGACCTCTTCCCACCTAACGTTAAAGCATTCCACTTCCGCTAAACGGCTCAGTTCATCCCTTGCTAACTCTGACTGTGTATTTATTTATGAACAGGCATGTGTTTGCTCCCCAAAGTGCAAGCATTGCTGTAATCAAGCCCTGGGAAGACTGATGACTTGCCGCAAAGTGGCTGCCTTCCCTCCCCCTGAGTCTGGGAAGCCTGCCGCAGGATCTACCCATCTGTGACACGCACAGAAAAATTTATCGTTCACACATTTCTGATGTTCACTTTGGGACAGAATAATGAAGTTTAAAATATCTGCTTTAAATCCAAACCATATCTGTATAATGAAAACTTCATTTTAATGATGCTTTTTAGACATAATACTTGGGATGGGAATGGGGAGTATCCCAAAATTTTAGGGGAGCAGTCCAGCTCTCTCTCTCTCTCTCTCTTTATCTCTCTCTCTCTCTCTCTCTCACACACACACACACACACACACACAGAAAAATCAGTGTAACTCAAATGGGAAGATGTGAGGTATCCACAGGAAGGAGCTACAGCTTTCATTGCAGAAACATGAACCTGCTTCTCAGCGGAGTCCGCACACATTGAAGAAACATTTAGGTATGAAAGCAATCTGTAAGAGAAGTTCGCTGTAAACTGTTGGGTGGGTTTCACAGGACGTTACCTGCACACTGCTTCCGCATCAAAGTAACGAGTTTTCCTGTGATCAATCACAATAATTTCATGGTGTTTATCCAGAAAGCATTCAAGAGCTGACTCTGGAGTCCGAGCAATGTTGCATCTGTATCCGGCTCTGTCGCAGGCCCACCAGAAGCCATCACTCTGACTATCTTCCTTGGCAAAGACTAGCAAAACCTGAAACACAAAGAATATAGCATCTACACAGAAATTCCCATCTAGTTTACAAGGGGCTCTGAAAGGAAGCTGCCTAGGGCCAAACCCAGCTCCTCCAACAGTTCCAGTGCTAAGTCATAGTTCTCTGGTTAAGTCATTCTATGTCCTGGGCCTAGTTTCTCTGCTGCGAGATATACTCAGAGCCATGCCTTATAAACTGGAGCTGAAAATTGAATGACTGGATACAATAGGACTCAGTCAAGCTGGTGAGAGCAGTCGTAGGCTACAATCCAAGTTTTCTTAATTTCCAATTAGCTTTGTTTTTTAAATAAGATAAGCAGTACAATTGTTAAAAGGACACAAATTGCAGATTAGGTGATGATTCACATATGCATGCATTTGTTTTCAGTGCATGTGGTAGTTGCCTGAGTCCCTGGAGGCTGTCTCTGAACCGATACAAAGGCACAGGAAAGAACCACCAAAAAATAAAAAAAGTGATCATGACATGTGAGAACTAAATTGAGGACTATTGGATCCTTATCACTAAACAGTACAGCTCTACCCTGACCCCTTGGGCCCAGGAACGCCAGTTTTTCTGCTGGCCAGGCCAGAGTCAGGCTTAACACAACCACCTGGATTATTCACTTACTTACATGATCTTCTCCACTAGAGAAGACTTGCTAGTCCTGTTCCCTGCCACACCCTGTGTCCAATACCAGGCTGGCAGTTGTGAGCCACTCAGTAAAATATTTATGACTGAAAAAATGTATATAACTACTCGTAGGATTTTGTGAGAACAATATAAGAGGACTTGTTTTTAAGAAAAGGTTATGTGAGAAAAATTGTCTTTTCTATCCAAGTGTGTGTGTTGCTTAAAAATTCCTGCTTTGGCCTGATGGCTTAGCTCTTGTTAAGAAAAAAAAAGAACTGCTTTTTCCCCCAAGATAGAATTAAAATACACCGCATAAGACAAACCTCATATTGTTCAAGAAATAGCAGAGGGTGCAGGTATATGTTGAGATTACATGGAAACTGTTCATCTTATTTCAAAGTTACCTTATGTAAATACATCTTACCAGATACAAACTAGCCAATCATGAGCAGACTGTGAACCTGACCTCAGCCAATCTGAGCAGAGGAGCAGGACCTGTTGCATTAGGGATAAATAGGGGAGTAGCCTGCCCATTTTGTGTGCTTGCTTGCCACATTTTTGGCTGATGGTTCACCCTTCTGCCTTGCTGAAACAATTCTTTATTTTCTACCTGTCTATTATTGTGACTCCAATGTTTCTTGGAAAGGATATTTATAACAGTTGTGCTATGTAGCTCAGGTTGTTTTCAAACTCTCAATCTTCCTGCTTCAGCCTCTTGAGTAGCTGGAATTAGGGGCATGCACCACTGTGAGGGCCTTGCTATTAGTAAAGGTAAGACAACAGATCCCATTGGTTAACATTTAATCACCTCCAGATATAGATAAAGCATTTAATATTCTTTAGTATCCACTTGTGATTTAAAATATCACACTCTTGGGAAAAATAGAGCCATTATTTAACATACATTTCCTAAAAGCTTACTTTGTGCCAGGCACTATTTTTAATTGCTTATGCTATGTACTAGAACAACATTGAGATTCTTAATTTGTCCTAGTCAAAGGGCAAACAAACATAGGTATATTAAGTAAGGAGATTATGTAGAATGCAAGTGGTAAGGGCAATATAAAAGAAGTGGGCAGTAGCTACAGCAATAAGACAAGATGGGGACATAAAAGGGATCCAAATAGGGAAAGATGAAGTCAAACTCTCCCTCTTTGCAGATGACATGATCTTGTATTTAAAGACTCCACTCCCAAATTACTTAAGCTGATTCAAAGTAGCAAAGTAGCAGGGTATAAAATTAACCCTCAAAAATCAATGGCTTTTCTGTATGCCAACAATGAGAAATCAGGAAAGCAACTCCATTTGTAATAGCCCCACAAAAAATAAAATACCTAGGAATTAAATAAAGAAGTGAAAGACCTCTATGATGAAAACTTTAAAAACCTGAAAAAGGAAATCAAACCAGAACTTAGAAAGTGGAAAAACCTCCCATGCTCCTGGATTGGATGGATCAAAATCATGAAAACGGCAATACTTCCCAAGGCTATCTACAAATTCAATGCGATTCAATACCTATCAATATTCCAACTTCATGCTTTAAGGAAATAGAAGAGGCAATCCCAAAATTCATATGGAACAATAAAAGACCCCGAATAGCAAAACCGATCCTTAACAGAAAGAACAGTGCTGGAGGAATATCAATATCAAATCTCAAACTCTACTACGAAGCCATAGTAATCAAAACAGCTTGGTACTGGCACAAGAACAGACCTCAGGACCAATGGAATAGAATTGAAAACCCAGAAATCAACCCACAGACCTATAGCCATCTAATCTTCGATAAGGGAGCTAAAAAAATAGAATGGAAGAAAGACAGCCTCTTCAGTAAATGGTGCTGGCAAAATTGGTTAATTACTTGTAGAAAACTAAAGCTAGATCCTTATATATCACCCTGCACCAGAATCAACTCCAAATGGATCAAAGACCTTGGAGTCAAAACAGACACTCTGAAAACATTACAGGATGGAATAGGAGAAACCCTAGGTCTCTTTGGCACAGGCTGAAATTTTCTTAATAAAGATTCAGAAACACAAAAAACTCAAAGAAAGGTTGGACAAATAAGATTGCATGAAATTGCAGAGCTTCTGCATGGCAAAGGACATAGCTAGCAAGATCAACAGAAAGCCCCACGGATTGGGAGAAGATCTTCACTAGCCATATAACGGACAAGAGTCTCATATCTAAAATATACCTGGAACTCAAAAAATTAAATCCCCCAACAACAAATCCTCAAAGAAACAACTGCCCAATAAATAAGTGGGCTAAAGACTTAAAGAGAAACTTCTCTGAAGAAGAAAGAAGGATGGCCAATAGACACATGAAGAAATGCTCAACCTCTCTAGCCAGAAAAGAAATGCAAATCAAAACAACATTGAGATACCACCTCACCCCAGTTAGAATGGCTATAATCAAGAACTCTAATAACAACAGGGAATGTGGACAGAAGGGAACCTTACTGCATTGTTGGTGGGAGTGTAAACTTGTTCAATCACTTTGGAAAGCAGTATGGAGGTTCCTCAAAAGACTCCACATAGAGCTCCCCTATGACCCAGCAATCCTACTTTTGGGCATTTACCCAAATGATCACAAACAAGACCACACTAAAGTTACCAGCACAACTATGTTTATTGCACCATTACTTACCATAGCTAAGATATGGAACCAACCCAGATGCCCCTCACTGGAATTCTATGCCTTCATCAAAAAGAATGACATTGCCCCATTTATTAGGAAATGGAAAGGCATGGAAAAAATTATATTAAGTGAAGTTAGCCAGGCCCAACAAAACATAGGTCCCACGATTTCCCTTATTTGCAATAACTAGTATATGTCTGAGTCAAGCAGAAAAGGTCAGATAAGTTGATGTTAGGTGAAAGAACCCCAAGATAAGTATTCAAATGTTTTTTCTTTCATGCAATTGTTTCTAACGTATTTATAAGATGATTTCTTTGTTGCTTTGTATGTCCCTCCCCCACTGTATAACCCCTGCTTTCACTGTATTTGATGTTGGTATAATTTGTGGAGGGGAAGGGCAAAAACAAATTGTTTAAATAGGGATACAGGTGGACCCATTGCAACAACGAGATGTACAAGTCGTTATATTGAAAAACGAACTTTGGCGGGGGGGGGGGGAATTGGGGGGAAGGCAGGGGGTCAGATGGGAAGGGATGGGAAAGGGAAACAAAGGAGGAGGCAACAATGCTTGATAAGAAATGTGCTCATTATCTTGCCCATGTAATTGTAACCCCTCTGTATGGTATTTTCACACACACACACACACACACACACAAAGCAGTGGGCAGTGAGGACAGGAGCAAGGCTCCTGGAAACAGGAGATAGGCAATGAGTTGACATTTGGAGGAAAAGTATTCCTGGCTGAGCTCTGGAACCCAAGGGAACCAGAATTGTGCTGGAGAGAAAAGAAGATAGGGAGGGCAAGTAGATGGAGGGCTAGATAATGGTCAGGCATTGTGCATCATTTTGAAGACAACTGTACTTCACAGGGAAATGTGTAAGATGGACTCAAGGCAAGAAGTATCAATCATGTCTTTTTAATTTTTATGTTTCTGATGCTTTGACTAGTAGGGCTTTGTTGATCTGGAGTGTCAGCTGTTGATAGGATTTACTAATTCCTAGTGATAAAAACAACTGTATTGGGAGTGGGGCCCAGTGGCTTATGCCTATAATACTAGCTATTCAGGAGGCTGAGATCTGAGAACTGAGGTTCAAAGCCAGCCTGGACAGGAAAGTCCATGAGACTCTTATCTCCTCCAATAAAACACACACACACACACACACACACACACACACACACACACACACACACACACACACAAGTAGAACAGGACTATGGCTCAGGTGGTAGAGTGCTAGCTTTGAACATAAAAACTAAGGAAAAGCACCCATGTCTTGAGTTTAAGCTCTAGTACCAGCACAAAAATGCAATTGTTTTGGGAGCTTGGCTTTCATCTGTGTAGCAAATCTCCACAGTCCATGCTCCAACCACCTTTACTGTTCTCATAGACTCAGGACTGGGCCACTTAACCATCCCTGGGCCAGGTAACAGACAACTAGAACTATCCCTATGTCCCACCCTAAAATTAACCAAAGTAACTAGTCCTTAACCTGATTATCCTACCTGCTCATTCTTTCCCACAGAAACCACAGTAAAAATTCCACCTGAAGTTCCCTGAAGCACTGACTCCGGTGTTTTCCTATAGTCTGTGATTTGCCTTTTCCTCTTGGAAACCAGAACAATTATTTTCAACAGCAATTGTCCTCTGATCTATTGGCCTACCATACCTAAAGAACAATAAAATTTATGTTTTTCTTCTGTGCCAGTACTGGGGCTTGAGGTCAGGGCTTC